AGGAGAAAAGGAAATACAAATGCAGAATGATGTATGCCTATATTTTATAGATTATGCAAAAGTGTTTGATAAAGAACTGCTTATATTTATTGATCAATTAATATAAAAAAAGTAAAACGTTTACAACAAATGAAGACATTATGAACAACCTCACACACACATTTATATATAGAGAGACATACAGACAGACACTGATTTAGAAAATAGAAATTTAAACGCATAGAGGCAGTTATATATACATGTGCACATCAATTTATTGTCTCAAAGATGATTAAATTCCTGCCAATTATTTAGAAACTGAAGAAATTCTAAAGCATCAGCATCTCAATTGATTTTATTTATTTATTTTTTTCTGAAATAATGAAGAATTTGGAGCAGCAATATGAAAGTTTTGCCATTTCTTTTTCTTAATTGATCAGTAATGATCAATGATTATTGATTATTTTTTTGATAATTAACTTAGAAATTGATTTTGCATCACACCCTGTTGGAATGATTTTGTCCATTTACAATCCCATTACATTGAATATAAAACTTTTTTAAAATTATGTGTATTCAGTAATGAAGTAATTTCTATTGGGTTGGAAACAAACTTCCAGTACAACTTTTAATAAAAATGTATAAAAATTGTGGAAGAACTTTGTGGCAACACACATACAAACATACATACATACATACATACATACATACATACATACAGACAGACACACATACACGTGTGTATATATATATATATATATATATATATATATATATTTTTTGGTTGGATAGATGTGAGTTTGTGACCCTTTCTAATAAGTACCGCGCATATAATATATAAATAATTATACATATATATTTATTTATTTATATTTATATACACACACTTTTCACACACATATATATATATATATATATATATATATATATATATTATAAAGATGTAATCATACAAAGAATTAATCAGTAAAGTTAATGTAATTAATGGTGAAATCACTTTGCTAACAGATTTAATAAAGCATTAACTTACTAACCACTCGTTAACTGACACAATCCTTATATTTAAAATTGTAAAATGGATTAGATGTTCTGTTGATGCTAGTACTTTTGAAAATCATCATATTTTATCATCAAGTATTAATATTTTATATTATTTATACTGCACCATTTAATAGATTTATAAGGACTGACCTGCAGTACAAAATTTCTGCAACACTACTAAGACATTACTCTGATGATTGAACCATTTTGTCCATGTCACGTTAACTGAAAAACACAACAAAAAAATTTGTGGATTTGCCACATTACTATATTAAAAAAAAATGGTCTCACTTGAAATATTTAAAATACAACTCTAGCATTGCAATGCTGCATGCTCTAAAATTATGTAACCATTAATAAATAACACACTCTTAAAAAACATCTTTCAGCCTACAATACATTTGTTTTTGTCTTGGAATTTATCCAGAATGAAAAAGAATTAATGCCTGATGATGAAAATATGATGATTTTTGAAAGTACTAGCTTTGACAGAACATCTAATCCATCTTACTATTTTAAACATAAGAACCGCATCATTCAACGGGTGGTTAGTGAGCTAATGCTTTATTAAATCTGTTAGCAAAGTGATTTCACCATTAATTACATTAACTTTACTGATTAATTCTTTGTATGATTACTTCTTTATAATATTATTTATACTGCACCATTTAATATATATATATAGAGAGAGAGAGAAATTTTATTACTTAAACATTATCTTCAGTGGATTTTACAGTAGACATTCCGTTTATTTATTAAAGAATAATTTATTTATTTTCATCTCTGACCTGAATATTCAAGAAATGGTATTAAAGAAAAATATATATATATATATATATATATATATATATATAGAGAGAGAGAGAGAGAGATACATATAGAGATATATATATAATAAAGAAAAAATAGGAAATGCTTATCAATCTAACATGTTTCACTTTTATTAAAGCTTCATCAGAGACTTAGATATGGAGATAAAGAAAAAATCACTCTGTCAGATTCTGATCCATATTTGATTTCAAACTTATATATATAAATGCACATGTGTGTGTGTTTGTACCAATTTTTCTTGTTTGCATATTTCATTAAAGAATATGGAAATATTTCGTTTAAGAAGATTTTTAAATATTTTCTTGTGTTTCATCAAAATATGGTGTTACCAAAATATAATATGATAAAAAGTTTGGATTTATGTATAATACTAAAAATGCACAACACAGTTGAATCTGTCAAAACAGCATACCAGAGAAGTGTGTGTATTTGTGCATGTACATACATACATACATACATACATACATACATACATATGTGTGTGTGTGTGTGTGTGTGTGTGTTTGTATGAGCTGATATGCAAAGGCTGAGATAAACCAAATAAAATGTGATTGTTGTTTAAAAAACATTAATAATCTACCTAATGAACTTTTGCAATTGGTTGCAAGAACAAGGATAGCTAGCCAAAAAACAACACTCATTAAGATCTGCAAAGACCAGGAAGTTGTGGAGAGTCATGATCACTCACTTCCTGAAGGGACATGGAAGGCATGCATAGAAAAAGAAGAAATGGGGTTAATATCTTTGTGCATTCTTTCATATTGTGAAAACAATTTATTGGTTAAAGATCAAAAGAAATTACTGTGTAGAACTTTGATTAGTTTGTATTTCTTTTAAGAAATCTGTATTTTTAAGAATGTGGTAATAGTACTGCTTTAATAGTCCCATAAAATGTAGATTGTGCAATGACCAATGATCTGTTACCATAAAGTCAAAAGAACAGAGTAGAGAGTGATGATAATCATAAAATAAAGATATTGACATTGTACAAGTTAGGAAATTTCCTGATTTCAAATTGTCCGATTCAAACAATGCTTTCATTATTTCAATTCATCCGACCACTTCACCTATTTGATTTGCACCCTTGAACGATAGAAAAATAGGCTTCTACATAGTTCTCTGTACAAAAATACTTTCCTGCAAGTACTAACTTGTTGCTTAATACAGGCCTTTTCTGTCCAAATACCCATCTGCATGTCATATTAACTGGTTGCATGATTCTGAAACATGTATTTATAGTCATCTGACTTCTATATGCTGTGTCCCTCAGGAGTTGGTGATAATGTCTTCCCATAATTTGCTATCCTTTGTAACTCTCAGCAATTTTTGTCTTTTTCCTATCCCACTCAGTCACTGTTCTACCATCCATTTACACCTGTTCATGAGGTAGGTTATTGTCATAAGCATTAACTTCCCTCAATTTGGACTCTACCAGAATTATCCACCTTTTGCTGTACTATATACTTATTCTCTTTTACTTGTATTCTTATTTGCTCTTAGCCTCGTCATAGCCACTCTGTTTATTAAAGGCTTCAACATACTTCTTTAATTCTGTTCATTATTACAATTATGTTATGCTTTCCTTTGTTTCTTTTACCTTCAGTATACCCTGTGAGTGTCAAATTTTCCAAGTCCACTTTCCTCATTATGTACCCTAGGCATCTCAACTGTCTCTTTCTGATTCTAAGTATAAGTCTCCATTTTCCTTAAAACTTCTTCATTACCTAGATGATCTTTTGCAGGTAATTCTCATCCTCCTTTGATAGAACCACTTTTCTCTTGCCTCCAGTTTTCTTTTTATCTGTGAGGAAATTTTCCAGATGTTTCACTGCCATATAAGAGGATTGAGATTACATCATAGTTCAGCACTGTTTTCTTTGTTTCTAATGACATTTTCTCGTTTCTTAATAGTTTGTTCAGTTTTTGAAAGGCATCTTCTTCTATTCCACTTTTTGATTTCAGTGTCACATTTTCTGTCATCTGTATTTATATTTCTGTACTTGTTTGGTTTTGACATCACGGATTTGTAATTCATATCTTGGATGTTTTTTCTTACTGACAATCATACATTCTGTCTTGATGGTTAGTCCTTTTTTCCTGCTTTCTGTTACTACCTTGTCTAGGAAGTCCTGTAATTTTCTTTCTGTGTCTATCATCAACAAAGTGTCATGTGCATATCTCGTTAAGACTGTGTCCACCAATAATAAATCCCTTAGGATAACCTTGCTGTAAAGGTTGTGTAAACCCAGTGAGAAGATGCATACATGTCTTACACACCTTTCTGTTTTTTTCCATTCTGGGTATGATGATAAACTACATCCGTGTCCTGGGTAATACAATAAACTACATCTAACAGCAAGGTCTCTGATCAGAAGTTTTTGAGGAGCGTGGAACCATCTCTTTATTGCTGGTGTTCCTAGGTCTACCTTGACCCAAGATGGTAACATCTGTTAGGGTCCTAGCTATGAGCAAATAGTTAACCCCCAAAACTGGAGTCAAAACGTGTAAAAATAGGTTTTAATACCAGCAAAATATTTTTGTAAAAAATTATTACCAGCAATAAATGTTTGAAGAAAAATTATTACCAGCAATATATTTTTTGAAAAAAATATTACCAGTAATAAAAATATTGTCAACATTAAATAACCCATTAAGGTTGATATGCCCATAAACAAACCAAACCAAACAAAAACTGTCTATTTTTTGTTTAATTGTTCTGTTCATTTTCTGTCTGTGTGAACAGTTTGCTGTCTTTATAATTTCTGGAGTTCCAACTAAATCAGGTTTTCAGTCACCTGACCAAAAGTGCATAATGTCTTTGTTCAGCCACACCATGTGACTGAATATAAATGAGATATGTGTTGATTATACCAGCCATGACTGCCTTTTTTTACTTGTTTTTATTGATTGATTCATTTTCTACAGTGTATCAAGTCTTTGCAAGTTATTTAAAGTCAGAAAATATTTTAAGATTGTAAGGCGTTTTCTTTTTTAAATAATAATGGTTTCATGATTCTGGGGGAGAAAAGGTGGATTCATAGCTTTCCTAAGGATATTTGTGCATAAGGGAATATAATGAACCCAACAGGAATTAGAACTCAGCTCTCTGATTAACAATTCCAATCCATTGTACCAACTGTACATCTAAGCATACAGCATCTGGTATTCCCAAGCAGTCACCCATCTAGGTGCTGACCAGGCTTGACATTGCTTAACTTCAATGATCATACAGGAACTGGAGTTTCAACATGATGTTGGCATAAGCTGCATTATTGAACTTATTATATTTAATTATTTCTTAAAAGCCAACTAGATGATAAGAATAAACAGTTTAGAGGACTTTTAAGCTCTTTCCAAATGGTTGTATACTTTGGTTTTATAACTTATCAACACATATTCTTGGATCTCATCCTGGGTATGACAATAAACTACATCCACGTCCTGGGTATGACAATAAACTATGTCCAACAACAAGGCCTCTGATCAGGAGGTTTTGAGGAGCATGGAACCACCTCTTGATTGCTGGGGTTCCCAGGTCCACCCTGACCTGTGGTGGAAGCACCTGTTAGGGTCCCAGCTATGGGCAAATAGTTAACACTCAGATTACATCCGTGTCCTGGGTATGACAATAAACTACATCCACGTCCTGGGTATGATGATAAACTACGTCCAACAGCAAGGCTACTGATAATACGTTTTTGAAAACATAATGTTACCAGCAATACGTTTTTGAAAAAATAATATTACCAGCTATATGTTTTTGAATAAATAATAATACCAGCTATACGCTTTTGAATAAATAATAATACAAGCTATATGCTTTTGAAAAAATAATATTACCAGCTATACATTTTTGAAAAAATATTACCAGCTATACGTTTTTGAGAAAAAAATATTAACAGAAAAAAAAAAGTTGTTGGCATTAAATGACCCATTGAGGTTTATATGCCATAAAACAAAACAAAACAAACCCAACCAAACCAATTCTTGGATGAATGGGACAGATAAGGTAAAAATTGAAGTCAAGACCAATAACAGTAAAGAAGATAAGTATGATATTATAGTACAACAATTGCATTGACAGTCAGTTGGATCAATCCCAGATCCTTTTTAATTGGCATCAGATCAATATTTGTATTTGGCTTACAAAATTGTCGTCAAAGAGCAAATTAATTAAGCATTACTGATTACTGATTGATGCTAATTTCTTTATGGTGTTTATAGATTGCTGTGATTAATGACTTTACTAATAACCCATGCACTCTAATTGATAGAAAATATCTGATCAGACAAAATGTAAAACTAGGAGTGTACAGTGTAACTTGCCAGATGGCAAAATTACAAACACTTGTAATAAATAATCGTCTTCCTTTTCCACACAGGCAACATTGCTAGACTGTCTTTACTCTATCATTGCTTTGATAAAATTATTCAGACAATCTCCATTCTTTAGTGCTCTCAGCTTGGAACTTTACAGTAAAAATCTGCCTTTCCACATCCACAGGGTTGAATCACTTTTATTTCCTACTTATTCCTTTGGTAATAATGACATTTGACTTTGAAAGCTTTTTTCCCAAGAACTGTTGCTTTGTGGAATAGACTCCTGCATGGATGCTTCCTCTAAGCAATCTTAACCTCTTCCAATCTATTGTCATTCATTATCTAACCACCTTATCTTCAAAATCATGACTTCCAACTTCCACCACTTATATTAATATCACACACCTTATTCAGTAGTCCTCAATTTCAATGTCATAAAAATTTGAATGTTTTAAATATTTTTCTGATAATTCAGGATGTTCATTACATATATTTTTTTTAAAGAAACTGGCAACAATAGAATTAAATGTAGAGCTTTCATATGAAAACTTAAAGTGCTTCGAAGATATATTTAATAGAATAAGCTGTTTTCTATGACTTATTCAAAGGAATATCCTGATTTTGTTGTTTCTATCATTGTATTCTATACAGGAAGCTTTAAACAGAATTCCTTTGATCAAGTCAAATTATTTTTCTTGTTTTCTTAACTTTCACTGATTTTAAATCATTCACAGATTCAAATCATTGAAATAATTCATGCTAGACCTGAAAAAAATTAGCAGGTTACTAGCTTCAAGTCTAGCATTCAAATTTTTATGACATTGAACTTGTTTCTGTCTCATAGATGCTACTTGCATCCTTTCAGCTGATTAAATCTTCAGCCTTCTTCAGATTTATAATTTATAAAAGAAAGTGGAATTTAAAACATAGTGTTACCAATATCATCTGTCTAAAGTTTGGAATATTAATGTATTTTTTTTCAAGTGAGAGACATTATTTAAGATATATCATCTACTGGTCTATTTATAACTAAACTCTGTATAAAGCAATGTCTTGTTATTCTGAAGTTATAAGATATTATTTCCTTCAGGCTTTCTTGCTTTCTTTTGTGACAGCCTTTAGGTTATTTGTAATGAGTTTGTGTCATGAATGTAACAGTTCATATATCTTTGTTCTGGATATCCTCAAGCTCAATTCAGATGGCTATAGGTTATCATATTTAAGCTTTGGCAAATTGATTATTTCTTAATGGGACAAATTAGAGAAAGTAATTCAAGTTTTAATATCTTTATAGAGGCAGTGCTATACTTAAAGGCATTTCTGGACACTATGACTCACTGTTAAATCTCAGGTTTTGAATCAGAAAGAGCTGAAAACTTTGGCCTCATAATGATAAAGCAGGGCTTGAAGAATTACAGGATATATCAAAAGCAAAAGGTGTAGTAGAAACCAGCAGGCTATCTATACGTCCTAGGTATGATGATAAACTACATCTGCATCCAGGGTAAGACGATAAACTACGTCCAACAGCAGGGCCTCTGATCAGGAGGCTTTGAGGACTGTGGAAACGTAGAACCACCTCTTAATTGCTGATGTTTCCAGGTCTACAGCACCTGTTAGGGTCCCAGCTATGGGTAAATAGTTAACCCTGAAACTCAGACTACATTCGCATCCTGGCTATGATGATAAACTACATATGCATCTAGGGTAAGACGATAAACTACGTCCAACAGCAGGGCCTCTGATCATGAGGCTTTGAGGACTGTGGAACCACCTCTTAATTGCTGGTGTTCCCAGGTCCACCCTGACCCGGGGTGGTAGAACCTGTTAGGGTCACAGCTATGGGCAAATAGTTAACCCAGAAACTGAGGAAAAATCATCATAAAAGTGTAAAAATAGGTTTTAATACCAGAAATACTTTGTTAAAAATTATTACCAGAAATGAATTTTTGAGAAAAGAGAAAAATATTACCAGCAATATTTTTTTGAAAGAGAGAAAACTTTTACCAGCAATACCTTTTTGGGAAAATATTACCAGCTGTACGTCTTTGAAAAATAATATTACCAGCTATACATTTTTGAGGAAAAACAAAATATGAATAGAAATACATTTTTGAGGGAAAAAAATATGAACAGAAATAGATTTTTGACAAAATAAAAATATTACCAGAAGAAAAAAAAAAGGTTGTCGGCATTAAATAACCCATTGAGGATGATATGCCGTAAAACAAAACAAACCAAACCAAATCAGGCTATCTATCTAACGAGCTTGCAAGAATGTATGGCAGAACAGAGGGTGGGAGAAATGTTAAAAACAATTTTAGGAGTTACAAAGGATAGAATATGGTGGAGAGCTATGATCGTATGTGGCACATAGAAGATGACATGAGTCAGAAAAATGAAAATTTAATGAAAAAAAAACTTAAAGAAGTTTCCCTTGCTAACTCATAATAAACTCCCCAAGGACACATGGATAAAAGTATTGGTCGAAGTAATCCAAAAAGTGACTTGATCCAAACAGTTTTGAATTCCATACCTAGCCACAGCAGAGGTGAACAAAAACTTGAAGAATTGAATTACTAAGGGGAAATAACTGAAATTAAAATATCCAGAAAAAGTATGGCATGTGGAACTAGAACAATCTATCCCAGTAAGCTAAATAAAAGGTTGCATTTGAAATTCCAATGTATATCACCTGAAGATTGCTGGAGTGTACAATGGCTGAAACATTGTGAATATGACAATAAAGATGAGGACAACAGTTCAAACAGTGTAAATAGTTACAACACCACATTTCAGAAATACAGACAGTTTTCAATTTATGCAAATTTATGTCTATCTGCTATATAATATATATATATATATATATATATATATATATATATATATATGTCTATCTTTTATATGCAAATTGGTAACTATGTACTTAAGACTGCATATCTACATTACTAAGAACAATAAATGTCTAAGGTTACACTTCCCTTGTACTCTTTTGATTTTATGCATAAGAAAAGTTTATTACCGGTACTGGTTATTCTAGACTGGGGAGTGCAAAAGAAGGCCAAGCTTCATCTCATGATTTTTGTCTAGAATTCCCAACCTTTATATGCTATAATATAGAAGTATAATTGATATGTATTTTAATAATGTTCTTTTTCTATAGAGGATCATGGCACTCCAAAATTTCCTTTCTGAAACAAAATACCCAAGGCATAGTTAATTCCTGTAAAGTGTCTTATTTGATTGCTGATATTATCTATAATTACAAATGGATTTTTACATATTAACTTTCTTACAATAGCTAACACTAAGAAAAATCAGGTTGGTTAGGATTTATGGTGATTAACCATAAAAAAGGAAAGAAAAAGGGAGACACTTATATTTACAAAACATACATTTTTGTTTAGCTCTATAAACTGTATAGAATCTGCAGAGATTATCAACTATCAGTTCATTACAAATACTATCACAACTCTTTGGGAAACTATTTGATTTTTTAGTGTTTTATTTTAATGAATAAAGTATTTTAACAATATTTGAAAAATAAACCCAAAACATAATTTCTGAATGTTGTTTGAACTGGAAAGGTGAAACAAAAACAAAATCTTCTCATATACACTCTGTTTTTTTTTTTTTTCCCTCCCATATACATGTATTAGTCTTGTTCTCCAATTAATCCCTCACCATTTTAGGATTGATAGAAGCAATACTAATCCTCAGTTTTTGATTTTCTCATACCAATCTTTTCTGGAAGAGTTTGTTTGATACAATCTTTGGAATTGGCAGCACCATTAAGGAATTATCAATTAATTAGATTAACTAAATCCATATCAGTACAATAAGAAAATATTTGTACTCAGTTTCATATTGTTAAAAAAGGTATTATTCAAAATGCATATTCTTTAATTAAAAATGAATTGATTAATTGTTT